GAGTGAGGGCTCAGCCCTCCCTCCATGTCCAGCAAGGGCCCTAAGGTACCACTTAGGCCCAGGAGAGGTCTTCAAAGGCCCAGAAGGGCCTGAGTCTGAGCACGGCGGAGCCACTGGTCCCTGCACATTAGCTTTAGCATGGAGCAGGGGCTGCTGTCAGTCCAGAGGCCTCAGATGCACCCAGCCAAGGGAGGAATGGGGTGCAGAAGCCTGAATGTCTTGGACAGCCACAGCAGGAGGAAAGCCAGTACAGGAGTGCCCTCCTCTGCCCCCTCAGGCCCTTCTTGGAGTCAAGGATCAGGGAAGGAACTAAATTTCACTTCCCTCTACTGGATGGCCCTAGAAGCTAACATTTTTTTTTAAAGGAGAGGCTTAAATGTTGTGAGCCTCCCCTTATCCTCACAGCCCATTTATACATTTTACCCAATACATGCCCCAAACAGACAGGAGCCACTGCGTCTTTAGTCCTGTTCTGTCTTCATCTTTATTTGATATGACAAAATATAGTTTCAGGAGGGACCCAGAGTCAATAAATAGTTGGACAACAGCAATGGGGCAGGAGGGCACAGAAAGTCGTGGCAGGGACTATGGGACAGCAAGGAGCCTCTAGGACAACTTGCTGGGGTGCAGTGGCAGGAAACCCCAATATTTGAGCTAGCTAGCAGGCTGGGGCTGCGGGCCTGAGAGGGCATGCAGCGGGGAAGGGCTGGGGAGGTTCCTGGATTTTTCTTGGGGAGAAAGGTTTGGAGAGCATAGAGCAACGGAGCGGGCCCTAGGCAGACGTTCAGTCATCTTCCCCTTTCATATGCAAATCCGTTAATAAGTGAAAATCGGGTTTAGTCACTATAAGGAAGCACCCCAAATCTGGAGACGGACTCCACCAGCTACAACCACACTCTCGCCAGCTTTCGGCCGCTTGACCGGCCTAAGGAGGAACAAAGGAGAGGACGAGGCTGGAGGGTCTGGGCGAGGGGCCTGTGGCACCCGCCGGGCCCATCTTAACCTGTGCGGCGAGCTAGGGCTCGGAGCCAGAGAGGCGAACCAGGCCGAGGTTCGTCCAGCACCAGCCTCTACGCCGCAGCCCTCGGGGGAAGCCCTGCCGAGCTTGCCCTGGGCCCCGGGTACTGAGCTGAGGGGAGACGGGGCAACGCAGGCAGCCCCGCGGGAACTCTGGGTCGGTGGGGATGCGGAATGCCAAGGGAAAGCTTCTTTTGTCTGTGAGGCCCGGGAGCCAGGGCTCCAGCACCTGCCTCCGCCCCAAAACACAGAGAGAGGAAACCCGAAAAGGAAAGGCAGGGATTGAAGTCGGCTCGGGGTGCGGTCTGCGGGCCTCCTCGCTGCCTCTAAAGAGCCTCTTTGCTTTTCATTTTGGAATCCTTCTTCCACTTCATCCTGCGGTTCTGGAACCAGATCTTGATCTGTCTCTCATTGAGACACAAGTTGTTGGCGATCTCTATGCGCCTGCGGCGAGTGAGGTAGCGGTTAAAGTGGAATTCTTTCTCGAGTTCCAGAGTCTGGTAGCGCGTGTAACTGGTTCGGGACCGCTTGCCGTCCGTCTCTGGAACATAAACCCCCCCACCCAAGCCAGGAAGGGGTGAATAGCGTGCAGCCCCCAGCGCCCCAGCCCCAGCCCCCACCCGCGGCCGGAGGGAAAGGAGGCGAGCGCGGCAGGACAGGCCCAGCGGGCCGCAGGCGGGCCAGCCCAGCCCCGGAGAGGCTCCTCCGCCCAGGCAGGAAACTTTCCTCGGCAGCCTTCACTCAGCAGCCGGAGGGGCTGAGGTGGGGTGGGGGGAAGAGGGAGACCCAGGCTCGGACCGAACAATAAGCACCCTCGAGATCCGAGCACCGGGGACCCCCCTCCCGCCCCTCCCGAGTCGCTGGAATCCTCCGGAGCTGCGAGCGCCGGCCGAGCCGGCTCCGCAGGGGAGGGAGGGAGGGAGTCGCGGGGGGATCCCCGCTCTGGAGCCCCGCGCTCCTCACCCTTCAGATCCCTCTATTTTTTTAACTCCCTCCCTCTCCCCCAAAAATTGAATATTGCCTTTTATACACGTTTTGTTCCTATGATCCAATTATGTCGTCGTAAATTTGGGCGCACACAGCCTCTAAGCCTTTTAGTGGACAGTTTTACGAGCCATTGATGCCTGGATCGTAAAATTTATGGCCGCAGGTTTTTTTTCTTTATTTGCCCCGCATGGCCTATAAAACCCAGGCGGACCCGAGCGCGCAAAATGAAGTCCTAAAGTTTACCGTGGCTCATGTGCAGTTTGGTCATCCACGGGTAAATCTGTGGCGGGGCCGGTGGTTGGCTCAGTCCGGCGGGCTGCCCTGTCTGTGCCTGCTCCTCTTTGATCTCCCCACTGCTCTTAGCTCGCTCCTCCAGCGCCGGGCGAGCTGCCTTCTGACTGTACATCCCGGGGTTCAGAGGAGCCGCTTCGTCTCTGCCCAGAGCGTGTCCCGGAGCGGCCGCGGCGCTGCAGGCAGGGCGGTCGGGGTGAGCCCGGGGGTTGGCAGCCATGTCTACCCCGTGGAGAGAGTTGGAAGGCGCAGGCGGTGGGAAAGTGATGCTTAAGTCCAATCCGCCGTAGCAGTACCTGGATGCCTGCACCTCTGAGGCCGATCCATAGTTCCCACAAGTTTGCATGTTATAGGCAGGGATATTGGGGCTCTGCTTATAGAATGAATTGGCTACGTAGGAGCTCATGGCGGGGAGGGCCCAAAAAAATTTCTGCACCCTTTTTGATTAAGGGTGATTTGTGACTCTTTGAAGTTGAGGGGTTTTTGTTCTCCAAAGTGCACAATTTATAGGTGGAGATATCTCTTTCTTTATCCTATGCGCTCTTCCCAAATAAGGGAGCCTTAAATAGAGTCACGTGACTCCAGCGGCCACTCATAAATTTGGCTTGATGACCTCCGGGAGGTTAGTGATGGAAGCCGGCGAAACGCATCTTGATATGTTGGCAAAGCCCAACCAAGGGGGAGAGAGAAAGAGAGGGAAGGGGGAGGAAAAAAATGGTTCTTGGAATTGGGGGGTAGCCGGGACAACGAGCCCACAGCGACACCTGGTGCCTACTTGGAGAAATTGCATCCTCGAGCTCCAACACGCCTTTAGGCAGCTGGATGTTCTACCCTGTGGAGAAGCTGGTTATTACTGCAACAAACCCCCAGCTAGCCTTTTAAATTCTATTTAAATTTGAGAGAAGATTAGGCCCCACTTAGGATGCACACAGTGTTTTTTTTTTTTTGTAATGGATAATCCCGTTCTCTCAATCTCAAGGGCCTTCCAATATTCAAAAATGTCTGAGGAGAAGGGATTTAGTTAAGTTCTCCTGCCCAGGTTGGAGAACCAAGGGGGGTTATCTCAGGTGGCCTAAACCAAAGGTCAAGGTCCCTTGCCTCAAAAGCCCCCAAGGCCCCCCAGCTACTGCTGAGGGGATGTGTATCAGCATGGGAAAGTGGACTCAGCCTCTGGAGAAAAGGCCAGGATGTCCAAGAGGAGGGGAACTAGGTGGGAGGAACAAGATGGGGGGGCTGCAGGTGAGAGCTGGGTACTCTCTGGGATGGGCCTGGAGGTGAGGAGCCAGGTGGAGCTGGGTAGACCTCCCCATACCAGCTACCCCAGAGTGGCAACAAGGCAATTTTCAAGTGTGTGTGTGTGTGTGTGTGTGTGTGTGTGTGTGTGTGTGTAAGAACCTGACACAATGGGCTGGAGGACTGCTGCCCTGCACTCCTGCATTCTTGTGTGTGATCCTCATGTGGTACCTATGCTAGATATTTTAGATAGAAAATAGATGTTAGTTGAGGGCATGGAGAAGCAAGATTCAGGCCTCCACAATTTTATATGAGTAAGGCAGAGGGAAAGGCCTGTCTTGTGCCCTTTGGGGAAAAGGTGTCTGGATCAGGCTTTCCAGAGACCGAATCCAGAAGGTCCACAGGAAAGTAATTCCTGAGCTATTTGGAGATATGGAGAGCATCCGGGTAGGGGGTGGGCAAGGCAGGCCCCTGGGCAAGCTTCACAGGGTCTCTGCAGCCATTAGGCCCCTTCCCCTGTCCCCTAGCCCCAAGTCTTATTCTTTCCTGCCTGCTTCTTCCCAGGAAATCTCCGCCCCTGCCAGGAGAAGCCCCCCCTCCCTGCTGAAGGAGGTGCTGGAGGGGGGCTGGCAGGGATCTGGAGGATCTGGAAAACCCTGGCAGATTTTTCCCTCCAGGAGACCCCCCTTACCACCTCTCCTCCTAGGCCCACTCAGGTTTCTCTGGCTGGGCTTGGGGAGAGAAGGCCAGAGCTGATAAATGGTTAGGGTCCGGCTTCTCTCGTCAGCCGCAGGGTTTGAGGAGAGAAGAGTAAGGGAACCAGACGGACTGGGGCTGCATGAAGAAGGAATTTTGTCCCGGCCACGTCAGGAGTCCTAGAGCAGGCAAGAGCTCTGTTTCCAGGCTTTCTCTTTCGAGATGTCCTTGAATCGCTCAATCCCTGCCGAAGGCTCCCAATCCCGCGCGGTCTTCTCTCTCCCCTCCGTTTTCTGCCTCTGCCACGTTTCGCAACAGCCGGCCTGGCGGGGGCCCGGGGCTTACTCACGCGGCGTCCCCCGCCTCCAATTCCGGGAAGTGGGAGGAGGCGACCCTCGTGCCTGAGTTGCGCTTCTTTTCTGCCCTTTTGGGGCTTTGGGTTCAGAAGCCGAGGACCCGAGGGTACCACAGGCAGGAAGAAGGGCCTGCGTGGGGCTGGTGCTCAATCCGACTAACCCAGCCCCCACCCCAACACAATCTTGCGCGGCCTCTGTCGCAGGGTGTGAGTTGCTCCGCACAGGGAGCCGGGAGAGGCCTCCCAGCCCCCCAGCGCGATCCCAAGGAGAAGCGGAAGGCCCGGCTCCGCGCCCGGCTCGGGGAAGGCGAGTGCAGAGGGCTTGCAGGCGGCGGCCAGACGCAGGGGCGCTTGGAGCCTGCTCCAACTTTCACCCCGAGGGCCGGCGGGCGAGCGAATTAACAGAAATCCCGATATAAACTTTTAAAAATAATATCAGTTTTATTAAATATTCGAGAACGGATCCAGAGGTCGGATTTATACAGGAGGGTAACACGAGGGGATTTATTTATTTATTTATTTATTCATTTATCTTCTCCTACTGGCTAAACAAACGTCATTCACTTTTTTTCTCTCTTTTTGTGATTTTCCCTCTTTTTTTTTTTTCCTTTTTAAAATGGGATAGGAACACTGACGGTGCTAAACATAAATATAAATACAGAGACCACAAATACAGCTAAAAATATTCACACAGAAACAGTCACAGTTTGTAAAATGCCATAATGACCCCCAGGATTCTTTAAATACAATTTGCCAGGGCTGGGCATTTGCTGGGGCAGAGGGGCCGGGCAGGGACTGCGGGGAAGCCCTGGGGGTTAGTGTGGGGCTCAGGCGCACCCTCCTTGGGCCTCCGGCCCTCCCCTGCTGCCAGGCCGGCCCTGAGGCCCCAACAGAGGCCCCAGGGCCCGGAGCCGGCTGGCGGGGCGGGGGCATCGAGGGAGTCCTCATTTGGAGGGAATCTATGGAGTCTGAGTTCAGGGACCGGAGCCCCCAAGGCCTGGGCGGGGGAAGGGGCCTGCTGACAAGCCGAGGAGCTAGCGAGGGAGCAAGGAGGAAGAGGCGCCTGGTGAAAGAGAGTTGTGCGGTGAGGGAGGGGTCCGGAGCTGACTTTCAGGTCCACACTTAACTCCCTAATTTTGTTTTAGGGAGCCAAAACACATCAATTGTGCCAGTGATAAATACAGAGTGTGTGACTAGAGGAGAGTTGGGGGAGCGAGGGAGAGAGGGAGAGAGGGGTGGCAGGGACAGTCCTGGTCACTCTTTCTGCTTCTCCTCTTCTGTCTCTTCCCGCTTTTCCTCTTTTCCGCCCAGGCTGTCGGCATTGGCCCCTCCGCCGCCCCCCGAGAGCGTGGACGTGAGATTAGACTCTTTTTTCCACTTCATCCGGCGGTTCTGGAACCAGATTTTGATCTGTCGCTCGGTCAGGCAGAGAGCGTTGGCGATCTCGATGCGCCGGCGCCGCGTTAGGTAGCGGTTGAAGTGAAATTCCTTCTCCAGTTCCAGGGTCTGGTACCGCGAGTAGATCTGGCGGCCGCGCCTCCGGTCCGCTCCGTAGCCGACCCCTAGAGATCCGGGCACAAAACACACTAAAAACAATCAGCAAGACGTCCTCCGCAGATGATTTCGCCTAGTAAAGTCCTGACTCTCCCAACTTGGCCAGTAGCTCACAGCCCCCTCGGGCTCCAGCCTTCTCCTTTTTGCCCTGCCCTCCCCCCCCACTGGGGGTACAGCCAGAACCCAACTTCATTCAGACCTCCCATAGGGTGGGAGGTGTGTGTCCCCAAGAAAGGTGCTGGGGGGCGGGGCAAAAATCAAGCAGAAAGCTGCAAGTCTAAAAGCTGATTTTTTAAAAATCCCAAATGCTGGGAATGAGGGCCCCATTTCTCAAGGACTGGGCTTCCCCACCTCCCCAAGCACCCTAGCTCCTTGGAAACTTATCCCCACTTCTCTGCCCTCCCCTCTCCCCCGCCCTTCTCCTCAGCCTGACTCGACTTTGGGGGGCTCCCTCATCCTCTGCTCCCTCCCCTCATCCCCTGCCCTGCTCCTGCCCCCTCAGCTCGCCTTGAAGCCCTCCAATCCGTCAGGGGCCAAGGGGGCCAGGCCCCTGTGAGCGAGCGGGAGGCGAGCTGAAGGGGCAGAAGAGGGGGCCCTGTCTCGGCGAGGAGACGAGCGTGATTGTTTTTATGGGGCCATAAAAAACTCTCTCCGCCCGTTCTTCTAGGGAAGCCGGTCATAAAGCCAGTTCAGTTTATTTAATTTATATCTCGGAGCTGTAAAACTCACCACTGTGCGAATTCATTCGCTGCATCCAGGGGTAAATCTGGATACTGGCTTTCTGGTCCTGGGGCGCAGTCCTGCCCTGCTCAGAACTAAAATCCTGAGCGATTGAGGTCTGTGTGTTATGTCCTAAGGTGTTTTGTCTGCAGTTTGAGAGCATGTCTTTCTCCTGGTAAAAGGAATTAGATCCATAGTCATACGGCCCCCGGCTGGAACTGAACACGACATTCTCCTGTGGCGAATAAAAGGGAGTCGAGTAGATCCGGTTCTGGGCAACGGCCGCTCCATAGGTCGAGAAATGCCTCACTGGATCATAGGCGGTGGAATTGAGGGCGACGTTGGGGAGGACGTCCTGGCCCCCGGCGAGGTGGCAGGATAAGGAAGGGTTAGTGAAGTAGGAATTCATCCCTTTGCCTTTACCTGGTCGGGCTATGATTTCTTTAATATTTATTTCTGTCTCCAGTTTGTACTCGGAACTAGATGGTTATAGGGACGGCTCCAATCCAGGACAGACAAAATGACAAAGTCAGCTGACCCCCTTCCAGCCAATGGTAAGCCAGATGTCAAGAAGGGGGAAAAAAATCGCTTCTGCTTCTGTTGATTCCCTAGTTGAGACTAAGTGTGTGCTTTGAAAGTAAGACTTGGATTTCTTTTTAAAATATATATGTAAGAGAACTGGTCTGGGGGTGCAGGAGGGGTGCGCCTCCGTGAGCAGGGCCTTGGGGCCAGGAGAAGGAGAGCTGCACTCCCAGGAAATCTCTCAGCCCCAGCTAACTTTGCTGTGCTGTGGCCAGAGACAGGGCTGAAGAAATCCTTGTATTTTCAATCTGATTTCATCTTTTATATCTGCCCCCTTCTAAAATTACATCCTGATTTCTTCATGGGAGGAGCTCCCTGCCAGCTCAGGGGAGTCCCCAGAAATCCTACAGGAAATCCTGGTTTTGACACTCCATGGAGTAAGTCCCCATCACTAAACCGGTATTTTCCCCCAATAATTAAAAAAAATCAGAAGTAGAAAGAAATTTCATAAAACATGGTGCCCAGAAGAAGGAGAGTGTGGCTGAGAGTCTTGGGTATAGGAGGGATGTGGGGAGCAACTAGGTCTAAAGGGTCAAGGGTGAGACTTCGGAGTACACTGGCAGAGCTGAAGTGAGCAAAGGGGCCATGCATTTGCTTTCCTTTGCCTCCTTGCTCCCTTCTGCCTCACCGGGACCCCCTTTTGGGAAAGACTCTTGCAGCATTTTTGCCTAAAAGGGAAATATGCATGGAAATGCAAAGAATAAGGAGAAAAAGAAGTAAAAGAATAGAAACAGAAAGAAGGGAAGAAAGGAAGAAGAAAGAAAACTCTGAGAGTCTTTCTAGGGACATCAACTCCTGTTTATGTTGGTGAGAATTTATGATTTGGAGCCAGCGAGGACCGGTGGGGCAATTCACATTGGATCCAGCCAGAAAGAGAAGGCTGGTGGGGCTCTGATGGACAGTTGGCTTCCTGCAGGCTCAAGCCCCTGCACAGGTCAGAGCCCCCTGCCCCCTCCGGACTCACAGCCCTGCCAGGGGAGGCGCCCCTGGACCTGAGCTCTGGGGCTTGGAGACTTCAGCAAAGAGCTCCTGGGGAGCTCTCCCCAAGTGCCAGTCATCCCTGGTGGGGCCGGGCCTCTCCCTCCAATTTTTTCCACTTTGAGACTGAGAAAAAGGAAGACAAGGTTAGGAAAAGGCAGCTGAGTCCGAGGCTTCCGAGGGAGCCGCAGTGGGCGAACTGAAACAAGGGAAGGTGTGCAGATGGGTTTTTTTTCCTGATTAATCCAAACTTAATTTGATATCGTGACATGGGCTGAAAATGCTTTGAGTTGACAAAGAGGGGGCGGTGGGGAGTGCGCAGGGAGCAGTGAAAGCTCATATTTTCCTCTCACCGTTTTGGGGAGGGGGGGAAACTGGCTATAACAAGAACCCGGATGTCGCCGGATTTTATGATCTTTTCCTTCTGTGTAACAAAGCGGAGTAATCAATGGGTAGCAATAAAGCCATAAACGGGACTACGCTGGGAAAAAACTCGTTTATTCATCTTCTGTAACGTTAAGGTTTCCCTGGAGTGTCGCTAGGGGGGAAAAATAAAGTTTTCGAACCCAAAAGCAGACAGTGTGTAGAGACAACATGTTAGTTAATACATGAACCTCGTTAGGGGGTTGAAGAGTCTTCCTGCCAGACAATTTGTGTTGGCTTTTAAAAATACAGCCCTAATCCTTCAGAAAAGAGGGACATTTGTTGGTATTTGGAAGAGTAGGGGAAAGACCCCTATAATTATAAAGGTTCCTTCTCTTGAACCACACTTTCTTCTCCCCAAGGAGATGAAGGTAAAAGGGGACAGGAGGGTTTTTAAATTAAGAAAGAAATTTTGAGATGAGTTATCTTATTTTGGGGTGACCTGGCAGGTACACAAACATAGACGACGCCAACATGAGTTGCTTTTCACTCTAGAATCCAGCTGTCTTCAGATTCATGGCATGCCTGGGCAGAGGTTTCCAACAGCTGGTTTGCGCTCCAGGCCCCCTGGAGGGCAAGAGGTAGGGGGCAGAGAGAACAAGGGGAGAGATTCCTGGGGGCTGAGCTAGGGAACAAGTCAGTGCACCCCTGGACACAAGTAGCCTCTGTCAAAGTTCCCAGCCTCCTTTCTGCCCTGAGGGTAGTGGTGTAACAAGTAGAAGAGGCCAGAAGAGAGAGAGTAAATTCCCCCCCCCACTTCAGAGAGAGATTGCTAGAGGGATAAATCATGTCAGTGATATTTCCTTCAAGATATTAAATTGTTGCAATGTACAACAAATTGAATGATGGAAGATAGGATGTCTTAATGAGGTTTCGCTTTCAATGAGTGTTGATTTTGTATGTATTTTAAAATCTCTTTTATGGGTGGGTGGGGGAGGGAGGGACCTTGGAAGAAAGAAGGGGCTTCTGGGGAAGCATGTGCTACAGCTCCCCAACAAGGATGCCTGGGTTTCCTTAAGCTCCTCTTCAACCAAGTCTGAGAGGAAAGGGGCCCCAAAGTTAGGGAGATTCTCTTTCGGGGCCTAAAGGTGGTGGGCTTAGGGGGGTGGGCGACCTAAGGAGCAGAATGTAAGTCTCAGGCCCGGAAAGTTAAGTGTTTTATTACGTCCCTAAACAGAGGGCAGAGACTGAAAGGTCTCGCCGATTTATAATGAACAGAAACCAGCTGCTGGGTGAAAAAGGCAGAAATGCTAGAAGGGGGAGAGAAGGGGAAGCAGAAATACAAATAAATTCCCTCACTGCTTAAAGACTTTCAGCAAAATTAATTTCCAACACACTCTCCCCTATTACCTTCCTTCGTTCCTGAGGAAAGAAGCCTTCTTCTTTCAGTTAGATCTTTAATTATACAGCTGAAATTTGGTGGAAGGATTCGATCCAAGGGGGGAGAGCAGGTCAGATGAGCCCGATCTTTCCTCCATTGGATTATATTTTCCTTTTCCCATTTCATGTTAATTTTATTTTTTTGGCAAAAGAAGGGCTATGGGGGAAAACTGGGACTTGGAGTTTTCTAAATATATTTATATTTTCCTGTTAAATTTGTCTGAAAACAATTATGGAAACTCATCAGCAGAAGCAAGAACAGATGTTTTATTAAAACTGCAGTTGAGCTCTGTAAATATGCACAAGTCTTGGGAAGGAAGGGAGAGAACTTATTCTTTGTTTCTATAAAACAAGCCTAGAAAAATCAGAAAACATTCCCCATCAGGCCCGCAGGTCTCTGCGCTGCTGCCCTGGCCCCCTGGCCTCCCGAATCAGGCATTTGGAGGGGGCTTGATGTCAAGAGCAGATTTTGGTTTCCGAAACTTTAATAAGTGGATTCAAAAACAGGATTCAGAAAAACACCAAAAAGGAATAAAGGGGGAAAGTTACCGTTTGCTGCTCCAGTCCCCCCAATCCAAAACACATGATTTTAGACAGTGCTAATTATAGGAGAGAAATTTACTGCCTGTGCCTAGGACCCCTGGGTGGGGTGCAGTCAGTGGCCTGGAGTCCCCAAGGCTAAGGGTTGTATTGGAGGCTGGGTACTTGATGGAATTCCCAGGGAGAGTTAAGCACTCAACTCCAGCCTTCCCCTGCTCCAGGCCAGGGAAAGGCTGGGGGCCTATGTGGCACTGAACTGGAGAGACAGACGGTGGGACTGGACCCCGGCCCTGAAGAGGTTCAGAGGTTCCTGAGCAGGCCTCACCTTGCTGGCCTATGCTTTCCACCCTGCTCTTGGAAATCTATTAATTTGGGGCGGGGGGAGGATATTTGAAGTGAATGGGATGAGATCTGGAATTTTTATTTGAAGACAGTCTTTTCCAGAGGTCATGCTTAGTTTGTGTTCTGCCGGTCTCCTCTCTTTGCCCAGAACCTCCAAACTGCGCAGATGTTTGTGACTCACCCACCCTAGCACACAAACACTCCGTCCCTGGCTGCCTTGCTGCTAACTACAGCTCCGAGGAGCCTCCCGAGGCTGTTCAGGAACCCGAACACTGGAGCTGCAGGAGTCAGCACTCAGCGCTTGGCCTGGGCGCTTGGCTGCCTGGAAGCCACTGCAGCTGCCCGACCCTGCCCCCCCAACCCAGATTCTCACTTTCCAGAGCGGTAGAAGAGGTTGCCCCGCCGGTCCCTTTTGTGCCACTGGGCGAGGACTAAAATCCCTCTTACAGAGAAAGCCGCCTTTCAATAATTGCTCAGCTCACCTCACAATCGCACTATTTGGTTAAGGCTTTGCTGTTCTAGAGCAACTGCTCAGATGGCCCAACTGGCTTATGATTAGATTTTTTAATTTAAAAATTATAAAATAAATCCTACTCCAAATGCCTGTTGTGTGTATAAGCTCCTTTGATCTCCGTGGAACTCCTAGTAAAAAGGGTTGCAAAGAGCCTGCGGGTCTGCCAGAGAACCTGAACGCAGGGAATTGGGTCTGCTTGGGAACACCAAAGCACAGCTCACCCAAGGGGCTCCCGATTTCTCATATACAGGGTGGGGGAAGTTGTCTGAGCACATGTTCCCTCCTCCATATACATACACACTGCATTCCAAAAAGGAGCACGCCTGCCTTCTCCTTTCAAAGTTCAGGCATGGAGAAAAGTGAAATTTGACACACCCAACCCGGAAATGGATTGTATTTGGGGGTGCTGATATTCTGGGGACAGGGCCCTAGCTGGCCAGCTGAAGGGAGTTGGGGGTCAGCAGGGAAGGGGGGAGGAGAAAGAGGCCAGATGGGGCATGTCAAGCTGCTGAGAACTGCTCCAAACACCTCAGAGGCCTGCACTAGTGGCTCTTTTGAGCTAAGAGGAGGTCGAGAGGCTGCCGTAGCTGCTTTTGCTCTATTGCAATTTAACAGAGAAGAAAGGTATATAGAGGGGCTCTGCTAACTCATGTCATATTTCCTCGCTTCCCTTTCTCTTTCCAGATTTCTTCCTGACCTTTCCTTACTGGCACTCCACCTACTGCTGCCACCATCAACAGATACAGACTCTTCTATCAGTATTTGGCATTTATTTGGCTTCTCAATTACTTCTCTGGCTTAAGGTTAATAAGTAAAATAGGTCCCAAGCATCTCTGTCCCATCACACTCAGACCTGAGCCCCCTTCCGGCTTCATCTGGGAAAAATCATTTCTGGCTTTTTGGGGCCTGGCCCCAAAAAGGGTGGGGGGACTAAGTGTGTGCTCCCACTGTATCCCAAGCAGCTGAGTATCGGCTGAGGAGGGGACTTGGGGAGAGCCTGGGGACACCGCATCTCATCCCCACTGGGAATGGGGAGGAAGCTCAGATGCATAGGGACATTGGGGGGGGGGGTGTAAAGCAAGTGGCCCTGCTTGGCCGGGGAGAAAAAAATTAAAATCCAGAATAATTTCAGCCCCCAGGATAGGACTTCAAAATGGTGTCAGATGAGGAAGAAGCAGCAATAGCAAAATATGCTGCTTTGCATTGGGCCAAAGGATCCCTAACTTGCTGGCTTCTCTTATGCTCCTCCACATCAAGCGTTGCTTGGACCCGTTTTGGAGGTTCTTGAGAACTGTAAAATTCAAGATCTCAGCATTTATGACATCACAGTGGATTGTCACAGAAATTAAATAATGCAGGAGTTTTGTATGTGGGTGCCTGGCCTTCCCTCACTCTTTTTTCCTTCCCCCCTTATTTTTCCCCTGGTCTAACTTCTACTGCTTGAAAATAAAATGTTATTATGTTCTGGAACAATAAGCCAACAATAAAATATCCTCTTCATTTCCCTATAAATAATTTTAGCCTTTATTGTTTGCAATTTTGAAAGAACCATTTAATTTGTGCTGGCAAAAAGAGGGAAAGAGATGGGGAGGGGGAAATTAATTTCAGAAATGAGAATATTACTTACTTCAATGATAGTCTTTTAGATTTGATAGCCGGGAGCAAAATTAAAGGCTAACAGTGGCCTCTCTGACTCTACACCTGGTGGAATTGGAGATTTATAGGATCTTGAGCAAAGGGGTAATTTAATTTTGTAGAATTTGCTTAAATTCACTGCTATTTTGGGGGGCTGAGGAGATGGAAGGATGGGGGGAGAGCAACATTCTTTATCTAGCTTTATGAATCCATCAACATTACCCTGATTTAAAACCCAACAACCTGTGTCTCCGGGAAACTCCTGCAGAAGGGAGTAGAGGAGTGGGGTGAGGGGGGTGGGCTCAACTTTCTCAGTGACTGTGGTCCCCTTAACTAAGTGGTTACCAGGGGAAGGAAGAAAAGCCGGAGGCAAGGGGAGGGCTGCTCATGAGTCTCTCCACCACAGGGACACCCGGAGGTTTATGGTGTCCCCATAATTCTCCTGACCCTATAAACAGCTGACCTATTTTAAGAGGATTTCTGCTTCCTCCTTTCGGAAAAGGAGAATGAAAGAGCATGTTAGGGCGGGAGGGGTTTGCTGGAAAGGGGAGGGAGTTGGGGATATCGCAGCACTTTGTTCTCCTGGGCGAGTTTGCTGGTTTGGCGGGTTTCTGACGCAGGGTGGCAGCAGACAAAACAAGTAAACAACTCACAGACACAATAAACAGGAGCGGCTGCAGCCCCGTGGCAGAGGCCGTGGGCTGGGTGAGAGGCACAGTCCTGGGGTAATGTCGCCCCAGCGCCCCGGGTGGCCGAGGCCCAGAAAGCCTGAGGCTGTGCTCTGTGAAGGGCGGAAGGAAGGTGGAAGAAAGCTGCACACCTTTGGGCACAGCATGTCTGGACAGGACAGTGTTGGGAGGAACCTGATAGTCTAGGGAGCGGAGGAAAACCCCTCCAGCCCAGTTCCTGCCCTTACTTTCTTTTATGGAGTTATCCGCTGGCATTTATATTTCCCCTCCACTCTGTATTTTCATGGGTCTGGAAGGGAGAAAAGCTGGGAAAGGAGGCCCATTAATTTCCAGCCTCAGCGGCCCATACTTCGTGCTCCAGGCCCAGCTTCCTCTCCTGCATCACCCAGACCAGCCTTCTCCCTGGCCCAGCCTTGCCCTGGCTTAGGTAGCAGAGAGAATTAAAACGCAGTTCCACCAGTAACCAGATCTGGGTATTTGGGGGACAGACGGTAGAGGGCTCATAATCTGCCTCCACAGATGCAGGCAGGGGTGTGCAGCCAGGGCAGGCAGAGATAGGGACCGATATTGACTGCACATTTAATCCTTCTGGCTTGCCTTCTCCAACAGCCTTTCCAAGCACTCTGGCCGGCAGCCACTCCAGACCACCGCCCAAAGGCCACCTTATTAACCACTCCAATCCCTTCATCACCCCAGTGAGGCTTCCATGCACCAGGGCTGATTGCTTGCAGGCCCACCATACCCAAGCAACGAGTCCCACAGAAATCACTTTGAAGACAACTGGGTTCCCCTTATAAAATAGTCTTTAAGCTGGGAAAGTTTGTGGGGAGGTATGGAGAGAAAGCAGAAGGGATTTAGTATTTCCTCAGCCCAGCTGCTTGAACAGCAAAAGCAATAAGGTCTGAGAAAGCCTTTGTGGCATCTGTTGGTTACTGGAACCCGCATACTCCAATTCCAGCACACACATATTTCCAGCAAAGCATGCACAGAGGACCTCTGCTGTGCACCCGGTGCCTCTATGAGCCCACTCTCATCTAGTGAAGGCTAACAAAATTTTGCATGCACATAAAATGGTGTTTGAGTCAATATAGGCATGGTAATATACAATTAACCACCAAAGAAATATGAGTCTGTATATATTCATGCATAAGTCTGAGTCTGTACATTTGAGCCTGTATATAATAAATGCATAACACTACCAAGTCTGGTTGCAGAACACAATAGCCAGCCCAACAAGGTCGCTTTATCCAAACAAGGTCGCATTTTCCGTGGGGATCACAACTGTCAGACCAGGGAGAGAAAGGGTTTGCTCTGCCAATTTCTCCTTAGCTAGGAATCGGCGCATGAAATACAGTGGATGGCAGGGCTGACAAAGCACCCCTCTTAAGGGGCAGGCCTGAGAGTTCCCAAAGAGTGGGCTCAGAGGGAAAAACTGGGGCCCTGAGCCCAGGGAATGCTGCCAGGCCCTGATCCACAGATTCAATGTCTCTACCCAGCCTTAGCCCGGGGTGTGCACAGTTTTTGAGCCAGATTCTATTCTCAGCCATACTGGCTATTATTAGATAATCACAGAAGAGCTCTCCTGCAGTAAGGACCATGTCTGCAGGGAATTTGGCCTGCAACCAGGCTGAGGGTTGCCACTGGTGTCCCCTCTTATGCTTCTGTTTGAATGCCAGAGAGGGAGAGAAAGAAGGGAAAGAAAAGCGAAAGTAACTGGGAGACACAGGGCTGGTGACCATCGGTTAGGGAGGGTCTGGTTTATTCCCTGGCCAGACTGGAATACCAGGGACAGTCACTGCTGCTATGCTTTCTCTGCTTACCTCTGACTCAGGAGGACTGGTCTAGGGGTGAAGGGCATAGGGTAAGGTGGGGGCCTGCAGGATTCTAGCTAGGAAGGGACAAAAAATCGATAAAAATATTACAGAGGGACACTTCAAGATTGGTGTTGTTAGCGGTTAACCTCGAGCCCAGCACCCCAAAATTTCTCTGTCAGCACATCCAATTAGATCCCTGCAGGCCTAGAGATATACCCCAGCCTCGCCCAGGCCCGCCCCTCTGATGGGAGGGGACCCCTCTAATATTCTAGGTGAATCTCTACTGGTATGGATGGCCTTCTCCAGAAAAGGTTTGCTTTTGAGGGCAAACAAAGGAGACTTATGCTCCCCCACCCCCATCAGTGTGCCCATCCAAAGAGGAGGGGGCAGACAAAATACAGGCGAAAGAAAAGAAATAGAAGCCTCACCGGTCGGCGGTTCCCACATTACGCCAGGAAAAAGGCTCCCATTTTCGGGCCTCTCGGGCCCCTCCACTGTCCCACCGTACTCCCTTTGCCCTTTTCAGGTCCCACAGACTCCAGGTCCCGGCCTGCCGCAGCCTGGATAACCCGGGCGTCAGCCTATGGGCTCTGCCTGAGCGGCAGGAGAGCGCGCGGCAGCCGGAGCAGGCGGCGGGCTGGGCCCATTTGGGGAGAGCCAAGCGCTTTTCTCGATCGTAAACAAGGAACGCGAAATTAGCCCCTCGGCAGACGCCTCTGCCGACACACTAGTCCTATGGGGGGGAGGGGAGAGAAAATGCCATTTCTTCCCCCGGGAGAATACCTCACAGGCCTTTATGTCCGCGGCGAAAGGGAAATTTTGGGGGGGCAGGAGAGAAAGGCAAGAGGATTGTGGGGGGAGGGGAGAGAAGATTCACTGTCAGCTCCGGCCCACGGGGTTTGATTTGAATACAGTAAAATTGCACTTTTAAGATTTTGATAAAAAAAAAAAAAAAAAACGAGTTTCCCCCACCCCATATTCCCCCCCAGGCGACGGGTCAGGGTTTAAACAGGAAATCGTAGAGTGATCCCCTCCCCCACTGAAGCTTGGCGCAGAATCCTGGTCGCGCCTCTGGGAGAGGATGGTGGGGGGCTGTCTTGGCTCGGACTGAAGGTGAGTCTGGCCCCCAGACTCTTGGAACTCCCTGGCAATGTGCACCACCCCCCAGCTATCGGGTGTGTCTGCCTTGTGTAAGAGCGTTTGAATGTGTGTCGCCCTTTATGAAACTCACACATATAGGTGACGCCTGGGACCCAGGCTGGGAAGCAGGGCGGGGTCATATATCAAACTGCAACACATTCAGGGCCACGTACATTTGGAAGAAATTAAGCCACTGTGTTATGAAACCATATGTGTCGGGTTAAGACTATACAACACACCATTAGCACCAATTATTGGGAAGATCCTGAGCGCCCAGGACCCTCCCTGCTGCCCCATTCTGAAGCCCCTACCCCATGAGCCAGCTGCCCCTTGAGTCCTCACTGCCTCCTCGGCACCCAGAAGGCCCTGCCAGCCAGGCCTGGGCCTATCTCCGCCCAGCCTGCGGCCTCCCCCATTCCCACCTCCGCCCCAGACAAGGCAGGTCCATGCGAGTCGGATGCAGCAGTCCAGTGGACATCCCGGGTGGGATGGCCACGGTTGGGGGTTGGGGGGCGCTGGACCCAGGGGGAAAGCGGATAGGCCTCTTTTCTCTGAGCACAAGATGGCTTTTGAGTACCGCATCCCCCACCCCCACCCTCCATCCAATGCAGGGCACCTCCCACCCTCCCATCCGCCCGAGTGGGGGCGGGAACAGGGGGTGGGCAGAAGCTCTCCCCTCCACTGACGCGCACCAGCCACCAGCCTCCCCCCTAATTGCCAATTAACGGCTCCGCCGTTGGCCTAGCTGCGCTTGCTTCCTGCTCCGCGGCCCGGCCCTGGGCCCACACTGCGCATGTGTGAGCTCTGGCGGTCTCGCTCTCTGGGAGGGAGGGGGCTGTCGGACTGGGAGGGGGCGCTGGAAAGTTTGTTTGGGAATTGGGGGGCTGACTTTGCCCAGGGAGCAATGGGCACAGCCTACAGGTTCTCCCTCCTGCCCTGGACTTTGAGCTTCCAGGCCCCCTCCGTCCCAGTCTCATTAGCCAAAAGGCCGAAGATCTGTAATAAATGGGTACCGACGCAGTGGGCATCCGACAGAGGGCCAGCGTCCTAGACCCCAGGCTTGCACCCCACAGGCATAGTCCCCTTGCCCCCCCCCAACTCCCAACTTCGGCGCACAGTGACATCAGGACAACACACTAGCCCCACTACCAGTTACCACTAGTCCAGTTTAACCCCTTTCCTCCCTCCCCTTTTCCTCCCCATAATTACCCACGCGCCCACCCTCTCGTCAGCCCCCTCTCCTCTCTAACCAAGACAAGCCGCCGCTGTCCTTATCTTGAAACCGCCACCCAGCTACGGACCATTAGTTACATATTTGAACCAATAAGGAAACACTTACCGGGCGCTGCTGTCACTCTCCCTCTCTCCCTCTCTCTCTGCCTCTCTCTCTCCCACTCTCTGTCTTTCTCGTCTTCCCTCATTCTGTGCCGCTGCCGAGCCTGTCTCAGCTCCACACACATATATACTTTATATAAATTCAAAAATAAAAAAGAATAATCCTGATAATCAAAAATCCAAATAAAATTAAGGAGAGTAGCAAGAAGGGGGCAGGAGGGAGAGCCTGGGAGAGGGGAGGGGCGGAGGCATCTGCAGCTCCCTATCTCAACTCCTGCTCCCGCATTCCTCCTGCCCCTTGGGGGCCAGAGGATGGGAAGGGAGAGAGAGATGCCCTCAACTCCTGCCTCTCCCCTCCCAGCCCCACCCTCCCCAAGTGCCCCCAGCTTCCGCAACTCCACCTGGGAGGAAAAAAATTAAATGGGGGGAAATAATTATTAATCAGATTAATAAAAAATATATATATACTGGTAATGAAGGGAGCGCCCAGCGCAGGTTTCCCTGGCAATGGTTAGGCTCTTACAGGGAGGACTGTTCTGCGGAGCGCTCCGAACGGACAAACCACAATAAAAAGTTCACGTTCATGGATGGAATCCACATGACTTCTTGTGGCCAATCCAACTTGTGAGTCGATCGTAAACTTTTATTACTCAGCTGTAAATTTTCTGCAAACAACCGGGAATGCGATGCATTTGTGTAGCGTGTGCAAATGGGCGCCGCGGTCGCCATGTTTACCCAATTCTCTCAGAGAGGGAGCATCCCCCGACCCCCAACCCACCCCCACCCACCGCCCACTCCCCACGGCCGGGCTGCTCTAGGCGAGCGCGGAAAGAGCAGAGGGCGGACGCACGGAGGAAAGAATGAAGGGTTCAGCAGACTGCTTCTCCTTGCTGTGCCGAATTTTAAATGTTTTCTTTAATAAATGGGGGTGTTAAGGTTGGATCTAGGGGAATCAAAGCTTTGCAAAGATTTGTGGCCTTGTGGGCAGTGATGGCTGGTGAGGTGAAGGGACTGAAAAGGGATGCCCTTCCTACCCCTACCATTTTTTTTCTAGGAGAAGAACAATATCCTCTCTAGTGGGGTGCCCCCAAAAACACCCACTCCACCCCAGACAGGAAAAGGAGTCACAGGCTGCTGGCAACCTCCCAACCAAGCCTGACCTGACCGTGGTCTGAAGATCCTAAAGGGCTAGACCGGCGGGGGCAATCCTGCCGGCAGCAGGAGGGATGAGAAATTGGGGCAGCCTGCAGGACGCTCAAAACAACCTCACCCCCAGGTCCCTTTCTCAGACAGAATGACATTTCCCCCCAAGACTATCCCTAGCATTAGGTCTAATTTCCTAGATTCAAATGGCAGCTTACTTGAAATCTTTTTAGAAATAAATATGAAATTAAGGCCCAAGATCTTGGTTCCCACTTCCTTTTTCTTTGCAGTGCAAAGCAGTTTGAAGTCTTTTCGATTGATCTTGTCAGGTTACCCACAACCACCTTTTTCTGAAAAATTTCCTAGCTCAGTATCTGAGTAGCTGAGACTTGCTACCTAGGCCCTGAAAAAAGAACCTTTTACTCTCCCGAATTCCACCTTCTGCGCTACAATTCCAAGCACCCCGTTTCTACAGACTCCAAATTATGGCGGTGTAGAGAGTCCAGAATAAATTCTCCTACAGAGATTATTTGTAGGGGTGGGAGTGGGGGGAATGTTGCAGCCTGGTCACTCTCCCCACTGGCTGGAGATTTGAAGGCGGCAGCTCTCCCCTTGGTCCTGCATGCAGCTGGCATAGGAACCTTAATAGATGGGTGCCCTCACCCCAACCCACAGGGGATCCCTCATCCACTCCTCAAACTTCCTGCACAGTAAGCAAAGCAGTTCCCCCAGCCGGATGCAGGGACCTCGTTTCTTTTACAAACCCACCCATAAATTTTATAACAGGTAGTTAAAAATTACGACGAGGAAGAGCTGGCCCAGCTTTTCACAATGGGCAGCGGGGAGAATGGGGCAGCGCTGCGGGCAGCTCACCGGAAATTTTACTTCTAGTCTGTGGCACAACCTGTCTTGAGTTCTCTCTAATTGGGGCGGGGGTAACTTTCCCAGCAGCAGGCGGCAGGCAGTCGGCAGGGCATCTCATTTGGGGAAGATGAGACTGGGGAGACCAACCCATTCTCCCATCCAAGGGTCCCCCAAGGAGCCCTTCGGGAGCTCACAACATCTCTAATCCCCCCCCCCCCCCACACATACTCTCAGATCTCTTACAGGCCCGCACCTCGCTGAGCCTCAGTAATGAGGGTGTGCGGAGGGATAGAAAAAGCTGAGAATTAAAAAAAAAATCCAGGGAAACGAATTTGCCCCCCAACTTAATAGCTGCATTATCCTGTCTCTATGGTTGAGATTAGAATAATAAATTCAAGGCGCAATGAGCGAGATGCTTCAACTCAGCATTTTGAAAGATACTATTTTTCACAAATCACAAATAGCTTTCGGAAGCCACTTTGATTGGCTAATAAAAAAGTAAAGAATGGGAGAAAGTCCTATCTGCAGCAGCGGAATGGCCCCCATTCCGGTAATGGGACGGCGGGAGCATTTGGGAGGACGCGTTTCTAAAGAGAGAGCATCCCGCTCGCAATTACGTTCTCCCATAAAATTGTTTTTTACCTCCTTTTCTTTCCAAACGAGAAAACAGAGGCGGTGGGCAGGAGGGGCGGAGGAGTGGGTACTGCATGAGGAGGCGGCTGGGGCTCCCTTGGTCTGGCCCTCGGGATACCTGGCATCTCTCGCGAAGCCGTGCGCCAGACGCACCCTGCCCTCGGACGGACGCGCCGGGCTTGGGGCCACGGACATTGCTGAGCGGGTCCAGGGATGAATGGGACATTTCATGTGGGGGAAAAGCAGCGAAAGCCCTTCGGAGCCACTTAATGTTGGGTTCATCCTGCTTGGCTACGAGGCCAGATATTTTCATTAATAGCAATAATAATTCCACATTTAAAAATGAAATGGTTCTCAGCGGTCCCTCGGAGTATTAAGGACACGCCGCCGGTGGGAAGGCCCGAGGTCGGAGCTAAATGTTTTCTTTTCAGGCCTCCCTGGCAGGTAGCCGGTGTCTCCCACAGCAAATGAGGTTACCTGCCTGGCGTTGCAGCTCACAGCAGAGACCCCAAGTTCGGGTAGATTTACCCTGAGCTCCTGCTCAAAGCTATCCCCAGCTGCCCTCAGCCGCAACGGTGCTTCCAATCCCCAGCCTTTCTCAGCGGCAGGAGTCCCTATGAATGAAGCCTGAAGCAATCCTGTATTCAGGACCACTTTGCCTGGGAGCCAGAGACTGGACCCCGATGAAATTACATAAAACAAGAGTTGGCCTGGGCCCAGGTCTGGGAAAATCACTGACCAACAGAGAGAGAGAGAGAAGAGAGAGGAGAGAGAGAGAGAGAGAGAGAGAGAGAGAGAGAGAGAGAGAGAGAGAGAGAAGAGAGAGACAGAGACAGAGATAGAGATAGGAATAGGAATAGAGATAGAGACGAGAGAGAAAAATCTGGCCCAAAAATATTTCAGTCTTTGGGGGTCTGGTTTTTAAGACAAGAAGATCTCCTCCCCTCCCTTTTCCCCCCTCTCCTGGCTGAGTCAGAAGACTTGTATCTCTGGAATTTGGGATTATTTGACCAGAATCTTATTGGCATAAACAGATTTCTGTCTAGGACTTTGAAAAGAGAAGTAAGAGACCCCATTGCCCCCCTGGGTCCCTGAGCCTCCAACTCTTTATTTTGGGAAATGAAGATTCCAATGCAGACTCTCCTTAGGTGCTGTGGCTGCGGTGGAGGACTGTCCATTCAGCAAACCCATCCCCCAAGCCAATGTCCCACACTATGGGGGCCCAGGCAAGCTGCCCAACTGCCAAGGTGAAGCCTGGAGCAAGCTTGGAACAGCCAGAACAGAGGCTGGAGTGGACACAAGCAGGCTGAGTGACAGTGATGTCTCTGCGCCGATGACCGAATTTGTATTTCAGGATGTGGACTCAGGCTGGTTGTTGTACCAGCTCAGTCACTTTCCCCTTCCCTTTTCCTCTCCTTCAGGCTCAAGCTTCCTCATCCCCCATCCTTAGTGTCCCCCATCTCTAGGCATCTTCCAGCCAAGCCCTGCAGACAGGTCAGCTGCCTTGAGCCTCACACTCCCCCAACTGTGTTCACTATTCTAGTACTGGGTGCCGGGTGCCAAGGGTTGGCCACAAGGGGCGTGTGGAGATCAGAAAGAACCCCACTGCCTCATCCTCAGCCCCAGCCCCTGGCAGGAAAAAGGCATAGCTGCGGGGAGGGGCATGGGGCAGATTCTTTGTCTGGGCCCAGCCCAGGGCTGAAGAAGAAGGTGGGTGAGTAGGGAGATCTTTCTTCCTATTGGGGTGGTGGCACCTAGAAACCCACTTTGTTCAGAGCCAAAGTTCTCCCCAAGAGTATGCTAATATACTCCTTCCTCTCCCAACCAATGGACTGTTTCTCTCAACCCCCACCCCTTTCACCTGCCCTTCTAACCCAGCCTGCCCTCCCAACTCCCAGGCTCCTCTCCACGTGAGAGTTCCCCCGACCCCAGAGCCAGGTCAGTAGAGCAGACCTTTTTCAGAGTGTTGGGAAAGGGGGATAGGAGGAAGGGGGTAGAGAACGGGGGAGGGGGGAGAGCTGTGGAGAAAAAGCAAGTCATTCCAGCTTCAGATATTTTTCTCCTTTTTTTTTTTATTATGACTCACGTATACAATACAAAGTACTTGGACCAGGAGCAGGGCTGTCGGGACACAAAATCTACATTCATAGCTGGACATAAAGACAAATGACCAAAAATTATTATTATAGATATATTTTAACGTTTTTTTTTCTTTCGAGCACGTTGCATAAACAGAGAATTCAAGACAGAGTTAACTATACATTCAGTGCAATTTAGTTCTAGTCTACTGGGGTTAGAAGCACAATAAAAGCGCACAGGACCGGTGGGCTAGGCAGTCTCAGTTGTTGGGTTTTTCTTAGTGAAATAAGCAGCAACAAACGACAACAAAACCGCATTACGAATACTCTCAAAGCAGGATTTATTTCTATAGGTAGTGATAAAATACGTTGGATGTTTCTTTCCTTCTTTTTGTCATTTTTCATTTTTTCTCTTTTTTTCTCCTATAGTAGGATTTTTTTTTTAATTTCTCTTTTTCTTTTTCAAGATTATTGCAGGTTCCCTTTAGGTAGTATGTTAAATATTTATTATCAGTATTATTATTATTTTCATGATTATGGTGATTTCTGAGCGCTAATACTAATGCAGCTCAGAAGAAGCTGGGCCCAACGGAACAGAAATCAAACCACGAAGGAGAAGAAGGCATGGGCCCCACAGACCATGGGATGGCTAGGTAGGATTTTAGAGGGGACTGCAGGGTTCCATCTACCCATGGAAAGAAGGGCAGGGGAGAGACCCACATCTCCTTCAGGTTTCCATCAGGTTCCTAGAGAAAGCCAAGGGGGTTTTTCTAAGCAGAGAGCCCCAGGAAGGGGGTGGGGATATTCCTTGCTATCTTTTCCTTATTTTTAAATTTTTTTTCTTTCCTTTCCTTCCTTTCATTTTTCCTTTCCTTTCCTTTTAAAAAAAGTAAATCTAGTACACTAATTCTAGCATAAAAACAAAGCTACAAGTTCTCTTCCACATTTTGAGGGGGCTCTCCTCTAAAATAAATATCAGAGTAGCAGGGAGGTGGGAGTGTGGCAAGGGGTAGAGAGAGGGAGCAAGGAGGCCAGGTCTCAGACCTTAAAATCCAGGAAGGACTCAGAAGGGTGGGGGTAGGGACAAGTGTGTGTGTTGGGGCAAGGAGTGAGACAGAGTCCGAATTTTTTACCATGTCTCAGCCTCCCCCTTCCAGCCCCCAAACAAATAAAGAGTGGGGGAAGTCCAAAGGTAATAAAACCAGAGCTGCAAGTATCTGACAGGTAGTTAGAGTTGTGAGTGTCATTCTATTCCCTATAAAAGCAAATGACAGTCGTAAACTTCTCAATTTATCTGCTACCATAAAACGAAACTTCAAGGGAGTTGCTAAAAGGGGGGGGATCTCTCTTTTTTGCTTAGTCCTTGTTTTCTTCCTTTTCCTCCTCTTCTTTCTCTTCTTCCTCGTTTCCTTCTTCCTCTACCTTCTCCTCATCTCGGGCTCCAGGCAGTTTATCCTTGTTGTTCTCCTTTTTCCACTTCATCCTTCGGTTCTGGAACCAGATCTTCACTTGTCTCTCAGTCAGTCCCAGGGCATGAGAGACTTCAATCCGGCGCTTTCGTGTCAAATAAGGATTAAAGAGAAACTCCTTTTCTAGTTCCAAGGTCTGATACCGGCTGTAAGTTTGCCTTCCGCTGCGACGCCCCGGAGCTGGACAGAACAGAACCCCAGTCTGGTTATGTTTGGGTGGGGGCTCGGTTTTTCCCTGCTACTCTTCCTCCCTTAAAGTTCCCCCTCTGATATCCCCAGATCGCCTCCCTTCTGTGGAAAAGGCAAGAGCAGAAGGCAGGCAAGGGCTGCAAAGTTTAGGGGATTGTTTTGGTTTGGCTTTACCTTGGGAGGTGGGGTGGGGGTGGGGGCAGGGACTGGGGTCTGTTTGGAAACTCGGGGCTTGCCAGGGCCAGGGGAGCCCTGCAGAGTCCTCCCAGGCCTGCAATACCAGGAAACTGGCCCTTTCAGCTTTGTTTACAAGTGCAGAGTGGCATTTAGTGAGCAGAGCTGGAGATAGAGTCTCTTTCAAAAGGAAAAAGAGCTGGGGGTAAAGAAGAGGGGCTCTGCCCACTGCCCCTTCCTTGCCTCTCTCTGCCTAATGCTTTTCTAATAAGAAAAAAAAATTGATCTACTGGAATCTATCACTGCTCTGCCTGATAGCTAACTGGAGACCAGCAAATAAATCACTGGCCATCCCCGCCGGAACTTGTCGCTGTATCGCTTCCCCCTGTACTTCGAAATTGGGCTGCCGTGAGGGGCCACCCTTGGAGGGGCTCATGACCTGAGCTGCTTTACATATCTCAGAGACACCCCACAAGCTCTTGACTGGGGGGAGCCTGATTAGGGTCCTCTGGACCTCAGAGACCCCTAATCTGTATGGCCCCTCTCCTTTTGAGCAACTCTTTTTTTTTTTTTTTCCTGTTCTCAGGCTTCCTGTCTTCTCTCCAACTGAGGGAAGTATAGAAAAGTTGGAGTATTGGCCCTCAGGATAGTTCTCTGAGAGGAGGCAGTGGGTACCCTAGAGAGTCAGAGAGCCTATCCTTGGAGTCTCACCACTCTCTGGCTAGGGGAGAGAAACAGGGGGTCTCCCCTCACCTCAAGACAGCCTGGCTACTGTCCTGAACTCCAGGCTCTCTGCCTTTGGAGAAACTGGTTTGCTCCAAAGGCTGATAACCTCAGGGTACTCAGGGTACCATTCCCGGCCACCTCCCCAACTTTGACTTTAGAGATGGGGGGAGAGACAGAGATGGAGAAAATTATTTTTAACCCTTTGCACCCACATACCACCTTTCCCCCACCTTCACCCCACCCCCCCAAATGTCCCAGGCGTCCCCCACCCCACCCTTAGCGAAGCTTTCCCAACCTCTACAAACCCACCCAGGCACGGGGGTGGGGAGGGAGAGACCCCAAAGCCAGGAGGGAAAGCGAGGGCAGACAAAAAGGAGGCGAGGGAGGGGGGGAAGACCCGGAGCGCGGGAGACCAAGGGGGAAAGAGAAAAGGCTTCTCACCGTGGGGTCTCATCCATGGAAACATGAGGCTGGGAGACGAGTTTTGATTTAAGTGGCCTTGTCCTTCGCTACTGTTAGTGTTGGCGGAGGATTTACAGTCGGGATATTGCACCACGCTCGCCTCTTGCTGAGCCCCATAAAGGGACTGTCTGGGGAGCGCCTCGTAGCCATAGAATTTGGAGGCGTCTCCGTGGCAGCTAAGCGAGCATGGGTTCTGCTGGTAGCCTGAGTTGGAGATGCCGGAGGTGCCGTGGTGGAAGAAGTCTTGGACGTGGTGCGAAGCGTGCTGGAAGCCGGGCGCCGAGCCGCCGGGCCCGTACACCAGCGCATGGCTCCTGCCCACGCTCTGAGGGAACCGGCAGTCGTAATAGGCCGGTTCCAGGGACTCGCCGCCTTTGTATTTGGAGAACAGGGGGTTGACGAAGTAGGAGCTCATGCTGGGTACATGAAAACCCGCGGCCCCCTCCCCTCTGGCTCACGACTCCCCCGCCCGGTACCCCCGAAACTCCCCTCCCCCCGGGACCGAACCCCAGGCCGGCTGGCTCCCCTGGACTGGGCTGGGCTGGTGGGCTGGGGGCTGGGCAGGTTGGGGGGCGCCTGGTGCTGAGCTCGGTGTGCCCAGCAGAGCTCCGGGGCTGGGACGCGGGCGGCGACGGCGGGCGGCGAGCGGGCGGCGGCGGCGGCGGCGGCTCTCTTCACTGTCGGTAGGTAGAGCTCGCGCTCTCTCACTTAGCTCTTTCCTTTAACAGCCCAGGCGAATTCCTCAGACTCCCGGCGGTGGCGGCGCTTACACGCGATTCGCGTTCATCAATCCACGACATGAAGACAGGCGAGAGAGAGAGAGAGAGAGAGAGAGAGAGAGAGAGAGAGAGAGAGAGAGAGAGAGAGAGAAGAGGGAGAGAGAGAGAGAGATGGCGGGGGTTGAGGGGTACAGGGCTGGGGGAGACCTGGAGGAAGGGGAGGGGAAGAGGGGGGAGGGATGGGGGTGTGGTGTGTAGGGGGGTGGTGAGCCAGCCCCAGCTAATGGCTGGGGCTAGCTTTTTCAAGGTAGGAATTCAGATTTGAAAGGTGCCTCCCCCCTTCTCTTTTCCTTCCTCAGAGAGAGAGACCTGAGCCAGCAGGTCAACTCAGGTTACCTCAACAGGTATAAGACCCCCAGGGGGTTGAATGTCAGCTAGCCAAAGCAGGGCCTCTAACCCAAAAGATGGGCTCCCTAAGGGGTCCTTAAGTATGGGGACTCTAAGGAGGAAAAATCACACCATATCCCCCAGATACTTCAAGCATCAGACCCTTCATCCCCTGGCCCCTCCCAGGGTTGAAAGCTGTCCTGTCTTCAACCTTACTTCTTTAAGACGCTCGTGCTTGCCTGCTATGCGTAGAAGAGAAGAGCAGAAGTAGTGGTGGGGGCACTCCATATACCCAGTTAAGGCCACAATGCCCCTTCAGACACCAGCCCCTATCTCAAGCAGGAAATGCAGGCAAAAGCCTGGCTGGGGGCTCTGAGAGCAAAGCTGCTTATGGGACTAAGAAGGAAAGGGCAGCTTGCACATCCCTGGCTTCTGCCTGGGCTGATCCAGGATGTTTCTTCTTAGGAGACTATTTGCATCTGAGTTGGAGGGAACTGGAGCAGACCTCTTCCTGGTCCCACATACCCCCCACCGCATAGGAAATGCCAGCTCAGCCTGGCAGGGTCCCCCTGGCTTCACTGCATCCCCTTCTTCCCCAGGCAGGTTGTCCAGGCCAGGATGTGGATGGGAACTGTCAACAGCCAACTGCAGTTTCTCTGGGGGGTTCCCCCACCCCCAAGACTGAACAAATTTAATTCTAATGGATTAAAGAACCTTAGTCCATCAGCACCCTTCCTTGGCCATAAGTGTGTACAGTTGTGAGGGCTTAACACAGAGAGAAAAAGGGAGAAAATGAGAGAGCTATGTATATGTGTGCCGTGTGCATATGAACGAAAAAGATGAATAGAATTTTTCCGGTCCTCTCACTCCACAGTGTGTGAGGTTGTTAACACAGGGAAATCCTGGCACACACTGGGGACACACACATACTGTATGTGCTGCTACCTTGTCACCCTGAGTCCTGTCAAATGCATGCTAACTGCAAGCTAGCATACTTCCATGCCTGGAAGGATCTCTGTCACCTCGCAGACACTGTATGCACACGTGCACACTCAGGAACACATGCACATATGCCTGCAAACACAGAAGCATCTCTAGGTGCTTGCATCATGAAAAAAAAAATTGCTACCTATTTTTCTTCTACTTCCTGGGGTTTCAGGGTTGGATGAGGAAGGAGGTGGTTAGACAACCAGATTTTTTCTCTCCCCATCCGGATCCCAGCTCTGGGTATGCAGGAAGGAATAGTGGTGCAGAGCAGGATGGTTTAGAAATAATGAACACTCCTTCCCTCTGTTATCTAAATAATTACTGATTACTGGGGAAATGGCCACTCCCTGAGAGATCCCCAAAGGAGAGTGCACTGGTGCAGGAAGCAAGAGAACCTTCTAGGATCCTCTGCATTTGAGGAATCCCACCCCCATTTGACTTAGGAACTGCCCAAACTCTTAGACACCCAGAACTCTGGCTCTGGAGCAGCGGGAGGGAAGGGTCAGAGGAGGACCATGCCAGGGCTGCAGGGCTCCCTAGGATTCAGAACAGGGGTGCGGGTTGACAGGGTGTATCCGCTAGGAGATCTCAGCCCGCCTCGGCCATGGCTCCAGCCCTGACTTTTCTGAGCCTGCTGTTATGTGCTGAGATGAACAGGGTGGACTCTGGGCTCCCAGCATCTGTGTCATTGGGGACTGTCATAAATACTTTCTCTTCCTCGCCTGGAAAGAGCAAGCCCAGAGGGCTGGATTTGCTCTGGGGCCTGCGCCTTATCTTTTATAGAGTGGGGTGGGGTGGAGGGATATTTTGACATTTTATGGTCTAGCAAAAACCCTGCCACAGAGCTATTCTTCGGGCCTTTGTGTCTTGGAATGCAACTGTCCCGAGTGTGCCGCCACTGCCGCCTGCCCGGAGAACCCACCAGTCCCCCAACCCTTGGCCGGACATGGTTTCCCCTTTTGGGGGGGGGGGTCCCTCGCCTTTCTTTCCTTTGGATTTTTTTTCTTTTACACATATCTCGTTTATTTTGCTCCCTGGGCCTGGAAATAAAGGAAGCGCAAGCAGCCATCCTCGCCGAGGCCGTCTCTGTCCCTCTCCCCGAGGCCTGCACCGCCCTCATAGGTACCACGGATTTATGTTCGTTTGTCCGGGTCATTCTGCCTTTTTGTGTTAATTACGCGCTGCCCGCTTCGCACTTATCTCCTCCGCAAAGCGATTATTTTTGATGCCCGCCCTCCTGCGCCTTCCGAGCCCGCTGCCAGAGCGAGGGCCCATCTCCCGCTGCCACTCGAGAATTATTTACACCTCGCAGGTGAGAGGATTGATTTGCTCAGAGCCAGTGGGGCCGGGCCGGCCGAGGCGCGGGGCCTTCTCGCCTCGGCTCGGGGCCGGGCCTCAAATGTCAGTGCGGCCAGGCTGGCCCCGGGCACCGCCGCCTCTAACATTGAGCAACAGCGCCACCTCGCGTCCACTTGCTCCAATGCAGTCTGGCCGTGAAAAAGCCAACAGAGGTCCCAGACTTGGCTCAAAGGTGGGAAGGGGGAGGAAGGAACCCCCAAATGGGTGCGAAGGAGAGGGATTCCCTGGAAGACAGTTGCCCGGGGGGCCTCTGTTCTTTTGCTTTCGAAGTTATCGAAATAAACCTTGTGAAAGGTTCCACACTGTTTTCTCTTTTTGTTACCCTCCCTTCTCCAATTTAGAGACATTGTGTAAAGGAATTGCCGCGATCTCCCCCCATTCAGGCGCATTTCTGAGCTTGGAACACCTCCGCGCACGCGGAGGCACGCTCTGAAGCCCCCACGACCGCCTGCCCGCGGCACGCACCCTAAAGTCTTCACTCCTCTTACCCTGACGCTGGCCCCGCACCGCCTACTCCGCCGCCGCCTGCAGGACTTTGGGGTGGGACTCTGACTTCAGGCTGTTTGCCCCCTGGTTTGTAGCCCATCCCTCTCTTGCGCGCGTTCTCTCCACCTCTCCCTCCCGGCCAGTGAGGTCCGGTTCTCCGTGGGCCATAGACAAAACATTCCTATAATCCGATTTCAAAGGAAAGAGTGTCCACCTTATTTAAACCATAAAACAATTAAGCCCAGACGTCTAGCCAGCTCCGCGCTGCTGTTTTGTTCGGCCCCATTCAGAACCCAGAGCAGGGAGACAAACAGCGCCATAAAAGTGGCATTTCGGGGCTGCGGAAATGTACCTATCCTCTGCCTTCCCAAGTGGAACAACCTTTAGGGTTTTGTGATTTTTGACAAAGGAGCAGAGGAGAGATGGGAGGGAAAGATTAGGGGAGGAGGGCATTTGCTAGCCCCTCTCTCCCCTCAGCTTTTATTTCTTTCCCCAGATGTGTGTCGTGTTGTTGTTTTAATTCATAAGTGATAGCGAATAAAAATCAAATCCAATCCTGACCTGCAGGCTGAAGACTGGGCTGGGATTGAACAGTAGGCCAGGCTTGGTGGGCCTGCTCTGGTCCCCATGCTCTCCTCGGGGTCCTCCAAGCCCTGAGGACCTCCTTCCTGCCCACAGTAAGGCCGGCTGCGGCGTGCTGCAGGAAGCAGGCCGCGCTGACGGACACTGAGGGGAGGCGACAGGGCCTTGGAGCAGGGGCGGGGTGGAAGCCCGGAAACGCCGCGCTGGGCTGGGAGAGAAGCCCGCGTCTCCAGCGGTCCAGACCGGAGGAGAGAGGAGTATCTTGGCCTCCATGGGGTGCAGAACTGGGCCAGGGTTCCAGAACAGCAAAATGGCCAAGGAGAGGAGTGGAAAAGTGAGGAAAGAGAAAAAATTATAGGCAAAGCACCTTTCAAAAGGACCAAAAAACAGTGCTCTGGAATTGGAGAGGTCTCCTAAGCCAGAAAGAGGAGCGGGTGCTTCAGCGACTACCAAGTCCCTTGTGGCGACCTGATTCGCCATCCCCACAATATTATCGAAACAAAATTTTCACCCCTTCCCACCTTCCTCCAGCCCCCCAAATTGGAGCGTTTAATGGAAGGAGTGGGTAGGAGATTCAAATGATGAGGAAGGGGCTGGTCTCTACAAGTGTCTCACCAATCGTGTAAGGTGATGCTATGGGGGGAGCAGCACATGGGCTGGGACCCCCACTTATTTTCCTTAACCGAGGTATCTCCCAAGTATTCAGAGCAACACCCTGCACCCTCAGCAGAATGGGCAGCTTGAGATATTAAAGGGCTATATTTCAAGCAGTCTGATTTTAATAGTTTCCAGATTGGGGGATTTCCGAGAAAAGGGGCGCCGGGCAGAGGCATACCCAGCTTGTGTCTGCTTCTGATTAGCAGATGAAAACTGCTGGTTTTAGGAAGGCACTCTGGGGTGCAGTGGGGCCGACCATCCCCACCCGGCTGTTACACACATATCCCCACACCTTTGCGATTGGGGTCCCACAGCTACCAGGAAGCACTCCACTCCTGGACAATCCTGACCAGCCTCCTTGGCCACTGGCTGGGCCATCCCCCAGAAAAGCTAGAGCTGCTCAGCATGACTCTGGTTACCCCCAAACCAACATTCAAACCAAACACCAGAGTAGGGAAGAGACAAAGATTGGGAAGAAAGGAGAGCTAGGAGGAGAGAGGAGCTGAGACTGTATTGAGAAGTAGAAACTAAATCTAATTTTGATTGTATTGGCTTTGACATCTTTCTCCTTCCCCCCTTCTCTCCTTTTTCTTCGTTTTCAATTTTCTTGCTCTCCTCTCTCCTTCCATTCCTTCTCTTCTCTCTCTTTCTCTCTTATATTTGTCTTTTTCTCCCACTGCAGTCCCCAGTTCCTGTCCTGCTCCCTGAGGCCTGCCAGGCCTTTCTCCTAGCTGCACCCAGCCCCCTCCCAGCCTTCTTTCCCAGCCATCCCTGGAAGCACCAAAGCACCAATGCAGACAGGCAAGAATCCAGCCTGGGCCCTCACCCAGCACCCAACTTTCATCTTCACCTATCTCTTCCCTCCGATCTCATGTACTCATAAATTATTACAATTAATTACAGCCAGGGAAAACCATTCATGCCGAGCCTCTCCCCGCACTCCATCTAGTCACCAGGAAACTTGTAGGCAGCCAGCCGGGGCAGGCACAAGCTGGGCCTGGGCCTCAGCAGCCTCCACCCCGCCCCTGGAGCCCCCACCCCCACCCCGCCCTGCCTGGAGAGAAGCCGCAGGCGTTTGCCCTTCTGAGGTAGAGGGAGCCCGTTCTCTGGCTCCAGCCTCCCCTAGAAGATCTGAGCACTTGCCTCCTCCACCACAGCAGCCTGGAACCACAGGGAGGAGAAATAACGAGAACTGAATACAGTTAGGTTTCTGGTTTTTTAAGTGACTTCGATATATTAACACAGAGCTGTTCTACCATAACAAACAGAAGCACGTTACAGGACCGACGCTGGGGACGACGCTGAACGCTGGGGTGAGAGGAAACACTGCTATGTACAGCCCAAGGCGCTGGCCTGCGTCGCCCGAGACCCAGCCCTCGGCACGTCCGGCCCTCACCACTCAGCTCCGGGGCTGGGAATCATTATTGTGTATGTGTGTGTCTTTTTTGTACAAAATCTGCACGCAGAGCACCCCAGGCCCAGGAAGGGATGGCCTGGACCAAATACAATACAGGGAAAAAAAATAGAAATATAGCGATTCAAGTACTGGCTTCTCTGAAGAAAGGAGAAAAAAATCACGTTTGTGTGTGTCATTTATTTCGGTTGCACTGAGGGAAGAGAATGCAGTTTCTCTCCCCACCTCCTCCTCGCTGGGTAGAACTAACTCTAAAACACCAATATCTCAACACTGAACCCTCCCAAATCGCAAGAGTTTTCCTTTTCCCCTTCCTTTTTTTTTCTTTTTAAGCTGATTGGCTTTTCTCTATCTTGCTCTTTCCTTTTCTTTTTCGTGTTCTCTCCCGCCTGGGTTGGGGTATTTTGGGGGTTTTTGTTTTTCCCTTGGCTGTGCTGAGGCAGCAGGCTGGGCAGGATTTAGGATTGCTCCTTGTCGGTTTTCTCTTTATTCATCTTTTTCATCTTCATCCTTCGGTTCTGAAACCAGATTTTGACCTGCCGCTCGGTGAGATTGAGAACCCGGGCCACCTCGTACCGACGGTCCCTGGTTAAATACATATTGAAGAGAAACTCCTTCTCCAGTTCCAGCGTCTGGTACTTGGTGTAGGGGCAGCGCTTCTTCCTTGTGGAGCGGGCGTGGATCCAGTTGGCCACGGGGTTGCCTGGAGGGCCAAATAGAGGCAGGGGTCAGTGGAGCCCCTTTCCAGCCCAGGACCTCTGCCACTCCACCCCCAGACTTAGCCAGGCTCCCCAAATCCAACAATTGAACCTGAATTTGGACACGTTTTGCTTTAGGAATTTTCCCCTTCCTCCTTTTGCATTCTGCCTCCTCCCCATCTCCCCCCTTTTCAGTTTCCAGCACCTAAAACTGTAGGAAATCCGAAGCTATCAAAGCCCCTACAGTCTAGTCCTCAGCTTCAAGAGTAGTAATTCGAGAATATCCTCATAAAAAGTCCAAATTCCCAACCGTTTCATAGGCCCATAAACGCTTCTCTCTTGTTTTTTATTTTTATAGCAAGGTCTCTCTCCTCCCCACCTCCCTCCTCCTCTGCCCCCTCCCATCCTCCCAGCCCACGACCAAGTCCTGAAATTTTAGCAGTTCTGCTTCCTGACCCTGAGAGTCCCTAACCCCTCACCACCATCACCAGCGCCCCGTCTCCCGCTCCGAGTTCAACCCTGCTAAGGCGAATTCTCAGGGTGATGCTGGGACAGGAAAAGTCTTTCTACTGTCCCCAGAAAGCTGCTGGCCTTGGGGACAGGCTCCCCTACATCTTAGCTTCCTTGTTTGGCCTCCAGTGCCCCCCTCCAGTCAGCCCCAGGACAGGCTCTGCAGGAGCCAAGCCTCCAATTTCAGGTTTATGGGAGTAGCTGAGGGTAGGGAGGGAAGCCTTCAGAGGGATATAATTAGGCCCTGGGCCCTTATGAGGCTAGAGGAAAAGATTTCTTGCAGCCCCCTCCTGGGACTCCCCCAGACACTTCCTCACACCCTGGGGGCTGCACCCCCTCCCCTGCTGTTTCTCCTTCTTCCCCCTTTTTCTGGCCCTGCAGCTCCCACCTGCCCCCACCCTAGTCCTTCTTTGCTATACTCAGAAGGCTCCTGTCTCCCTGATTGAAGTGTGTGTGGGGTAGAATTCTCTAATCTGGGGAGATTCCCACTCCTCATCCAGGATCCCCATTCTCAAACCCTCCTCCACCCAGACCCTCAGAACAGTGTTCTCAAGTTAAATGAGACTCAGACCCCACTTCTGTCCCCACTTCTCTCTCTGGAAGTCCTGATGTGTACAAGTTCCCAGGCTTCAAAATCCCCCAGACCCTCACCCAGTGCTCCTGAGGAAAAAGTCCACGGACCTTCTGTTTTATGAATCTCTAGTGGGGTGAGGACCCCATGCTGACTGGGAGTAGGGGTGATTTTTCTCCCTAGGGTATTTCCTCTCTGTCCCGTGTCCTCCTCACCTCTTCCCCGTCCCATCTCAAATCATAAAATGAACCTCGCCCCCGCCCCATCCCCTAGCCCTGTCTTCATTTCTTAGAAAGTGGCGACTGAGCCAAAAAGCCTGGGCTGGGAGGGGGGCAGGGGTCTCTCATCAAAGCCAGCTCCTGGGAGAGGGGCGCCCCTCGACCCTCTCCCAACCTGTCTCCCTGGGCCCCCTCCTCAGACCTTCCTGTCCCTGAAAGCTCCCCAAGGTAATTCGCTTTTATTGAGTCCTCGCCCCCTCGCCCTCACCCCTCTCCCGCGCTCCCTGCGCCGTTCAGAGGGGCTGTAATCCGGCTCCCCCCGCCCGTCCTCCCCTCCCCTCCCGCGCTGGTTGTAAAGGAAAATTGCTCCCAACTTACTGGGGTCCAGGTCGGCCTTCTCCTCTTTGTGCTTGCTGCCCGCGAGTGCGTCCGCCTCGGGCGAGGGCAGTGTCTGCGGGGCGCGGTCGCGCAGCTCCCCGGGCGAGCCGTACATGTAGTCCGGGTAGCTGCGGCCGTCGCCCGGGCCGCAGTCGGCGCGGCGCCCGGGGTAGGCGTCCGGCTTGAGGGCGTAGTGACGGCCCCCGGCCGGGAAGCTGGGGAAGGAGACGGCGCCGGACAGCGGCTCGAGCCAAGTCCGCATGTAGCGCGTGTCGGCGCCGAGGTGGGGCTGGGGGCCGTACGGGTGATATACCACGGACGACTGCGAGGGCACGGGCGCCCACGACGTGCTGAACACTGCCGGCTTGGGCGCGAAGCTACAGGACGGAAAATCGCTACAGTCCGGCACCAAACCGCTGGGTCTGGCGGCGGCGGGGTGAGCCCCCGTGGCCGGAAACCTGGACGCTAGGAGGTCTTCATTGTCGTGAGAGATGAGCGAGTCCACGTAATAGTTACTGATGGGCCCCGTCGCCGACATCGTAACAGGGTTTTACATACATAAGATTATTGTATGAACTGTATATGTACTTTTTATCTGCTCACAGAACAATCAAGGCAGGTAATTATTTTTCCAGCCTTTTCCCCGCAGCTCATTGGTTCCCCGGCCCCCACGTGATCGTATTTACCCAAAAATACGGCGCGGATCAATGCGCAGGGGCTTTTTTTTTCCTTGCTTTTTTTCCCCCCCTCCCACCCCCTTCTCTCTGCTGATCCCCGCGACCTGCGTTTTCCTGGGGTTCCGGAACTCTGGACCCAAGGCACCGACCAGCCCCTCAGGAGGGCTCATATCTCATCAGAGAACCTCTTATGCCCATGTCCACCCATAAGCAGATGGCCTCCCCCCAACCATGAGGATTTTTAATGGGGTGAAAATGCCAGTTCCCGAAGCCAGGGTTCTTGGACCCCCAGGGCCGAGCTGGGCGCGGGAGACCCTCAGGGGCGGGGAGGCCGGCCGAGGTAGGTGGAGGAACTATTTCTTGACGTAATCCGTCTCTGTCGGCCCTGACGCTCCCGCAGTCCCTGCGCGAGCGGAGATCAGCGATTGTCAGTTCGGAACGTGGCTTTTAAAAATGCGTTTTTAAATAGTGTGTATGTATGTATTTCTTTCAGGAGCAGCAGCAGCAGTGAGGGAGGGAGGGTGGGAGGGGACTGGGGAAGCTGGGGTGGAGGGAGGGAAGGAGGGAAAGGGGAGCGTCCTTCTGCCACTGGCCAACTCAGCCCCCAAATCTGGGGTAGGGGAAGGTTAGGGAAGGTGGTCCGCCGGTGGGAGGGGTAGAACGTTGGGATCTCATACACCTTTATCATCAGCCTCAGAAGTCTTCTCTTTGCTTTGGCACAGATATACAAGCGCCTTTATTTTAAATTTATTGTCTATGTCTATTTATCTTTCTTTGCCAGCTTGAAGAAGTGGAGGAGAGATCTACACAACTTTAGTGGGGCATCCCCATCCCACCTTCCTGCTCTTCCTCTTTTGCCCCCACCTCCATCTCTGAGACACCTTTTCCCCCCAAAAAGAAGTCACTCCCAGGTTCTATCTGCAAAGAGCCAGGGTGAGAGCGGGCAAGGCGAGAGAGCGACCTCGGTCGTGGGCAAGTAGCTTGTTTTTACGTCCTTCAATAAAATTTTTATGAGGATCATTTGATTGTTCATAAATGTGTCTTTCATTAAATAAAATTGTAGGCTGTTTTTGGAACGGGAAAAAAGCAACGGAGGGATGGGAGAAAGCAGTTTCTTTGGGGTCGGATTCAGGAATTCCAGAGGGGGCAGTGTGATTGTAGGGGAATATCAGACAACTTAGATCCCTCCCCCCAATAAGTTGGTTGCTTCCCTCCTCCTTGAATTTGGGATTTGTTGCCCAGCCCTCTGCTTTCCATCAGATTGTCCCAAGGTGGTATAGTAAAAGGGGGCTTTAGGCAAGCAGGAAATTCTCAGTGTGGGTGCAGGAGAGGGGGTAGGGAGGTTGGCTGGGGGGAAATGAGGGGCAGGTGATGCCCTCAGAGACCTGGTGCACCTAGGTAGGGTAGAGTGAGTTTAAAGAGGGGTGCAATTTCAGGGTCAGATGGGAAGTGTCTCAGTCTGTGCTAGTGGAAATAGGCAGGAACTGAGGCTGAGATGCAGGCTCTGAAGGCAGCAGGGTAGGAGGCTTCCCAGACCCAGCCACGCCTGCCCTTTTTTCCCTCTCCTGTCCCCAGGAGAGGACCAAACGCCAGGGGTAGGGATGGGGGTTGGGGGGGCTAGTTTTCTCCTGCATATCTGCCGATCTCCTCTGGGGTGGAGAAGGGTTGGAGAGAGTGCACCTAGTATGTGTGTTGGGGGGAGGAAAGTTGGGGAGGAGAATACAGCTGTGGTGACAGCACGGATCCCAGCTCAACAGGCCCCCTCCCCAGTCCCTGCTCCTCCCTCTCTCTGGTTCTTTGCTTTTCGGACTAGCGGGGCTGGGATTTCGACGCATGGGGGGGATGAAGGAAGTGTCTGGCTGGGGACAGGCAGCGGCCTGGGGGCCTCAACCTTGGTCCCTGGATTCCAACTGTCTTCCCCTCCCTCGGGTTGGACTAAACTGGGAAACCCAAATTACAACAAGAAACAGAATATCTCTTTGGCCTTGATGGAGTCGCGTTAGCTGTCAATCAAAAAATCTCCCTCGCTAGTTCAAGGAAAAGACAGGAGGTTCCAGTCCCCCTGCAGAGGCTTTCTCCAAATCCCCAGCACAGCCAGCACCTCCCCCAGCCCCAGGCGGCTGGGGACCGGCCGGCTCTTGGGCGGCTGCTGGCAGCGATGAGCGGAGACATTTAGCCTTCAGCGGGGCCCCGGGCCAGACTGTGACCAAGAGGACATCAAGGGACAGAGCCTGAGAGAGACCGAGCCTGAGACAGCCTGAGACAGACCAACCGAAACACGGAGCCAGGCCCAAGAAAGGAAAGAAGGAAACGGAGAATTAGGATAAAAAGAAAAAAGGGGGAGAATTAAAGAGAAAAAGAAAAGAGAGAGGAGAGCAGGGAAAGGGAGGCGCGCAGAGAGCCAGGCGGAGGAAGGGCGGCGATACGCAGGCAGGACAGGGCAGGGCGCGAGCTGGCGGAGCAGCCATGGCATTGTGCAGTCCGCTTGCTCTGCGGTCCTTTGCCGCGGGACGGGCTCCGGGCGCAGCGGCCACTTCTGTCTGGACACAAAGGAGGAAGAGGCCTCCACTCCTGCCCCTCCCGGGGAGACCTGCTCCGGTGGGTACACCAGGCCTCCAAGATATAGAATCTCATGTTGGCCTAGGCAGCCGCCAAGCCGGCTGGGGGCTGAGCCACGCTCTAGGCAAGGAGCAAAGAAACAGAAGAAGAAAGGTTTCACGCCTGCTCTTCCTTTGCGTCTTCTCCAGGCGACAGGGCCCTGCTGCCTCAACCTCAGCTTCCCTAGAGGAAAGAGTCCCTAAAGATCTTCTCCTATGGGCCTCCCCTATTTGAGAGAGTCCCTCAAATAGATATTGTGGCTGTAAACAGACACCCCCTTCTCTCCTAGCCCCCTTTGAACACCACCTTCTTTTCAACTTTTGAGCTGTCTGTGCACCCTGCCTGCCCACCCAGCGGAGGCAGCAGTGCAGCCAGTATCACCAGCCAGGATGCCTGCAGCCCTCAAATCCCTTGAGAAACCAAGGGGGAGATTGTCGCCTTCCTTTCCTTTTGGGAGCCTGAACTCCGGACCCTCCCCACTCAGGTACAGGCCCGGCTGTGGATCAGGAGGCAGGCCTCACCCACTGCCTCCTCCCAGCCAATGCCTCATTTTCCCTATGCCTTGCAGAGAGAGGGGTCTTGGGGAGGAGGGCTAGAAAAGGCTGGGAGTACCAGTGTCCACTAGGCCAAGGTCCTGCAGGTTCCACAGCTGTATGTGGGTTGTAGCCCCCCCATTCTTCACATTTGGAGGTGGGGTGGCAGGTCAGGGCTCTGCAGCAGACCTTCAGGCTTCCCTCAAATCCAGGTTTGTAGGTATGGGGGCACAAAGGACATGGGGGCACCAAGGAGGATCTCATCTTCCTGGGGTTTAGTTACTCCTGAATCTCCTGTTGTACTCCACAACTCCCCCTCACCTACACCACTCCCTTCTATTTGCCGTGGCATGGCTGGGGCAAACCTAGGGACTGGAGGCCGCTGGGAGCCCCTGTTGGGGAAAGGGGAAGCCCCAGCTTCTGCTAGCAGTTCTGCGTAAACTCTGCTTCTCAGAGCTCTCTCCCGCCCCCAAAAGATTTCACTGGGCACCAGAGAGCCCCCTGAGAGGGAGGGGCAGTCTTACTCCATCACCTCAAACCTGGGCAGCTGCCACCACAACCAAGCTAGCACCGTGGGAAGGACGAACAGACAGGTTAGAGTCATCTCCTCCCCCTGCCCCAGCCTTCCTTTTAGTGATTTAAATTCCCTCCGGTTCAATCGGCACCGTCAAGTTCGGATTAAATTTAAAACAGGCTTTTCCCGGTGCCCCCAGCGGGCCATCCTGGCCTCGGCAGGCAGGGAGTCGGCTCCTCGCTCCTCAGCACCCGCCCTGCGCGGAGGAGGCCGTGCTCCATTTGCTTTCATTTTCCTTCTCCCCCTGAAATGGGCTAATTTCACCTCTCTGCTGCCCTCTCCCCCTCCCCGCCCCTCCCTAGTTCCCCTTTTTCCCCCCTTCTCTCTCCTGATTCCTCTTTGTTGGGAAAAACACACCCACACGCAACTCCTCCTAGCTAAGGCCTGCGCTGGAAGCAGAAACTGAGTTCTCCTGGCCTGCAGCGAGGAGACCCGCGTCCTGCCCCCACCCCAGGTGGGTATCTGGGATCCCTACACACCAGGAGTCTGGGCCCCAAGCCCAGCAGGAGTGAAGCCCCCAGAGCCTGTGAACCTGGCCCTTTCAACGCCATGGCCTGCTGGGCCTGCATTCCCGCCTGCGCCCCCGCCCTGCCGCTCCGCAGCAAACGGGGCTATTTCCGGCTCCCGCAACACAGTCTGGTTTTCCAGCCCGGGGAGTGGCTGGAGGGGGAGCCGCCCCAGAGATAGGGCTGCGCTCTGCCCGGAGCCCCAGTGGCCCTGAGTGCCTTGTTACCTGATCTTTGTGTGATGTATGTGTCGCAAGGAGATTTTGCAGTGACTTTGGAGCCCAGACTGAGGAAGCAGAGGTGGCGAAAGGAGAGACAATACCGACCCGAAGTACAATTAAGGGGCCAGATCTCGTCTCTCCCCCGCCCTCCCTGCCGGACTGCGAGCTGTCTGGCCTCAACCCTCAGGGCGACACGCGAATCTGGAGCCGGAAACTCAGCCCGTGGCAGAGGCAGCCAGAGGACTCCACATCCAGAAATCAGGAGGAAAGCTCCCTTCCAACTTGGGGGCGCCTTAATCATCCCCGCTGAGTTGCAGAGAATCCAATGAATGAAAGTGCACATCCCGACGAATTTCCCCGATTTTTCCCCCAGCCTTTGGAATGAGAGCCCAGTGTTTGAGGCGTCTCAGACACACAGGCAAACCGCATCTCCTGAGGCAGACAGACTCACAACATGAGTGTGAGCCTGAAATCATATACAGGTTCAACATTCCCGGAGGAGGCCTCTTTGCCAGGCCTGGCGGGCGCCGATCTCCCTACCTTCTCTCCCTCCAGGGCCTCAGGCAGAGAGACCCAGAAGACTCGGTCCCTCTGGCTTGGTCCAATCCCGCCTCGGCAGCGCCTTCGTTACCTGCTCCTCGGCTCCCCATGGCCACAGATGCAGGGCAGCCGCCTCCCGCCTGGGGAGGGAAGCCCCGGCCACCACAGCCGCTGCTGCCCGCCCTCCTTCCCTCCCTCCCTCTTTCTCGCCCTCCCTCCCTTTCTCCCTCCCTTGCGCGCTGCCGCTCTCGGGGCCCTCCCGCGGGCAACCTGCTCTGGACCAAATCCAGGTATCTCCGAAAGAGAAAAAAGAAAGGACTTCTTATGTGGAAAAGAAAAAAAAAAAGAAAGACCCTTATCTGTATTTATTTTACATGCTCTGACTATCGGTCTGCCTCAGTTCAGACGTCCGGGACACGGCCCAGCAGCCGCAGAGGTGTGCGGGGCCTGCCGCCTCGCCCACGCTGACCGCCGCGCCGCGCCCTGCATGCTCCACGCTCTGGGCCGCCGCCCCCCGGCAGCCCAAACGCCCAACAGACCTCAAGGTCCTTCCTACAGACTCAACATCCGGTTGCCCGCCTTGCCGCTGGCCACAGCCCCCAGAGCCCTCCGCTCTGTCTGCGGCCAAAGTCCACACACAATCCACCTTGTCCGTGCTCTCGCGCCCTTCCGGACACCCCTCCTAGCCGAGCCGCCCTCCTGGCCATACTCAAGTTGGCCCTGCCTGCCGGGGACTTCAAATCTCGTCCCCTGCGCGACCCACACAAAGCCCTTCCTTGGCGTTCCCACCCACAGCCCCCAGTCCCAGCTGCCGCCACCCCCTTCACCTGTTCTTGAGAAGAGCTGCATCTCCGAGCCTAAACAAGACTGTGGGCCTGGGCGAGGTCCCAGGGAGGCCACAGCGGATGGCCGGCCGAGCCCCAGCCCCCGCAGCCAGCGAGAAATCTCAGAGACCAAGGTTCTCCTTGGCGAGCTCTTGCCTTTTCCTCCTTCTCCCGCAAGTCTCAAACACTCACACGCCGAGAGTTCAGCTCTATAAATCCTGCTC